TGATGAAGGGGGTAGTCTATGATGAAGGGGGTAGTCTATGATGAAGGGGGTAGTCTGTGAGGAAGGGGTAGTTAGTCTGTGAGAAAGGGGTAGTCTGTGAGAAAGGGGTAGTCCAGTTAGTCAAGAGAAACCAAAACTGATCTTGTGCAGGAGGGGGCTAGGGAAAAGTGTGAGACAGAGAAAATGGGTAGAATGCCTTAGAGTTCTGTTGCTGTGAAGAGAATGCCATGACCATGGCAACTCTTATAAGGGAAAACATTAATGGAGTGGCTTAGAGTCTCAGACATTTAGTCCATTATCGTCATGGTGTGACATAGCAGTGTGCAGGCAGACATGGTACTGGAGCTGAGAGTCCTACATCTTGATTGGCAGGCAACAGGGCTCAAACTAAGATACTAGGCATAACTTGAGCATATATGAGGCCTCAAAGCCACCTCCACAGTGACACATTCCTCCAACAAGCCATACCTACTCCAACAAAGCCACAACTCCTAATAGTGCCACTCCCTATGAGCTTACGGATGCAATTACCTTCAAGTTACGACATAGGATATGAGGGGCCTATCTTAGTTGGGTTTCTATTGCTGTGACACCATAGCCAAAAACAGCTCAAAGAGGAAAGGGTTTATTTCATCTTACAGCTTATAGTCATCCAGGGTTCATCTAACAACCTCCCATTGCAACTTCCCTGATATAGGCAAAGCTATTCTCCAAGTGGTCAGGTATACCTATTACTACAGACCTAACCTATTGTCATGAACCCTGTTCAGAACTTGGGGCTCCCTTCAGAGATTCTCTGAAGCTAAGTCGTCTGATACTGCCTGTATAGTACTTCCTGGGGTGCTGTAACTAAGTGTCATGAGAGGAGGGGCTGGAAATAACATGTTGTTGTCAGAGGTTTCTGTCCTGCCTGGTTCCCACAGTTGTTAAGTCCTAAAGAAATCACACAGAAGTCTACATTAGTTACAAAACTGATTGGCCCATTAGCTCAGGCTTCTTATTAACTCTTAAAACTTATATTAGCCCATTTTTCTTGTCTATGCTAGCCACATGGTTTGGTACCTTATTCAGTAAGGCAGACACATCTTGCTTCTTCTGTAGCAGGGTCAGGACTGCAGAGGAATAGGCTTCCTCTTTCCCAGAATTCTCCTGTTTTCATTGACCCGCCTCTACTTCCTGTCTGGTTGTCCCGCCTCTACTTCCTGCCTGGCTACTGGTCAATCAGTGGTTATTTAAAATATAATTGACTGAATATAGACAATTGTCCCACAACGACATGTAGTTCTCACAATCTGAGATCAGCAGTCGAGCCGCATGCCTTCTAAGTAGGAAGTGTTTATCCTTGTTCCGCCCAGCCTCTGGTGGTGACCAGTCATCCTTGGTCTTAGCTTCTACGTTCTAGTCTGTGTGTCCGTGTTTTGTGGCCTCCTTCCTGTGTCTGTTTCTCCACATGCCACTGCCATCTGTCTTCTCTTCTTAAGGACACCAGTCGTAGTGGGCTGAGACCCTCCTTAGTTAGGAATTCATTTCTCATGGTTACCTTTGCAAGGTAACCAGAGGTTACAAATAGGGTCACATTCACAGGTGCAGAGGTTGGCACAATTCAGTCCCCAGTGTTCCTCTTCAAGCCAATGTCAGTGGACAGAGGGGTGGGAGAGAATGTGGCTTTGGTGGGGATGGTTTGAGAATAAATACATAAATACAGAGAGACCAAAGCAGAGTGTATGCAGGTATGGTCCTCTCTGGTCTCCCACAATGCACCAGTACAGTGTAGGCTCTCAGAAGATATTTCTGAATTGGTGTGACCTTGAAACTAGAGAAGAAAGTTGAGAACAATTGTGGCAGTGGGGGGTAACTAAGAGGAAGCTGTTGAGGTCTGGAGCAGGTGACAAACATTTAGAGTGACAAGGGGAGCCACCAATGCCACAGGCCTCTTTAAAAGTAGAAATGACAGGGAAGGATATAATTCAGTGTTAGAGCATTGTCTAGCAAACACAGGTTCAAATCTCAGTATCCTAAAGGAAAAAGTGACAGAATTTGGTAACTGATTTCATCACAGGGCCTGTTTGAATCTCTTTTCCTGTTTCTGGGGTAACATACCCTCTTTAAAACAATTTAAGGGAGGAAGGGCTTATTTTGACTCACAGGTCAAGGGTACTTCAGGATAGGAAAGTCAGGACCAGAGGGGTTTGATACAGCGTGTCACATTGTATCCACAGGAAACAGAACAACAATGCTTATGCATAGCTCACTTTCTCCTTGATAGCTGTAGCTGATTTTTCTCTGTCAGCTGGTCCCCCTGGACTGGGTTCTTTCCTATTCATGGGTTCCTGCAGCTGCTTATGAAATCATACTCTAAGGTTTAATATCAGCTACAATTGTTTGGCCAATGGCTCAGGCATATTACTGACTAGCTCTCACAACTACATTAGCCCATTTCTATTTTTCTGCATATTGTCATTAGACCACGGCTTACCAGTGATGCTCTGGCATGTTACTCCTTCAGCAACTACATGGCATCTTCCTGACTCTGCCTTTCCTTTCTCTGCACCTTTGTTTGGATTTCCTGCCTAGCTATACTTTTTCTGGCCATTGACTGAAGCAGCTTCATTCATCAACCAATAAAAGCAGTGCATAGTCACAGCATCCAGAGGGACGTCCCACATCAGTGTACAGTCCAGGACCCTAGACTCGGGAATGGTACCTCCCACAGTGTGAGGATTGTTCACAATCAAGATAATCTCCCACAGACATGCTCATATATAGTGGTATATTATTCGTGATTTAATAAATAAAAGTTGCCTGAAGATAAGAGGGCAAAGCAGGCACACTAGTCAACCATACAGGCCAGGCAGTGGTGGCACATACCTTTAATCCCAGCAGCCACACTAGTTAGTCATAGAGGCCAGGCAGTGGTGGTGCACACCTTTAATACCAGCACTTGAGAAGCATATAAGATGGGAGGAAATGGGTCTTAGGCTTAGTCTGAGGATTCATGGAGACAGGATATTGCCCTTTTGGTCTGATCTCTCTGGTGGTTGGCTGCTTTGCTTTTCTGATCTTCAGCTTTAACCCCTATATCTATCTCTGGGTTTTTATTATTTGTGCTATACCCATGGGCTCATCTCCCAGGCGATTCTAGATCTCATCAAATTGACACTTGAAACTATCCATTGTAGAGGGACCCCAAGCTTAGACATTTAAATAATGTTGTCATCATCGTTGCACTTTTCCTCAGCCTCTCCTTCCTGTGTTTATTCTTCTGCAGCCTCATCGACAGAAGAGGATACATCCAGCCCGACACGCCGCAGCCAGCAGCACCATCGAACGGGATCACCATGTATGGAGCCACGCAATCGCAGAGTGACATGGTAGGAACTAACTGTACCAGGGCCACTCTTCCCTGCGAAACCCTCTCTTCTGCTGGCATGCCCTCTAACCTAATAACACATGCCTGAAAAGCAAATGTTAGTAGGAGGGACATCTGGAACATCCATATTACTGGCATGCTAGCGTGGGAGAAGTGAATGACAAAGTTGGACAGTATTCAGGGAGGGACCATGCCATCCAGTGTGACTAGCTTGTTTCTTAAGACACACACACACACACACACACACACACACACACACACACACAGTATTTGTGCTCTAGTAGTATATGGCACATTGAAGGAAGCCCCTGCCACACAATCAGGGAGCAGTTAAAGGACAGCATCTACCTTCCCCCCAGGGCTGGACCTACTTTGTAGTCTTAATCTCCTGTGCTGTCCATTCCCAGTGTGTGATGTTACTATACTAACGTACCTGCTTCTCCAAGTGGGCAGACCACCGCGTCTCCATACTTCCACCCTGAATCTTAGTCTGACCTGCAGCCGCTATGTACAATCCTCAGACCCAGGGCTCCATTATTTACAGTGTAAACCAAACTCCCTGCACACCTCTCCCGAGCATGCATGCACCTTGCACAGTTCACTGTAAGGCAGGAGGTGGGGAGAGAGCAGGAAATGCCTTACTGTGGACATCTGCAGCCACTGCACATTGACCGTGACCCTCGGAACCTGAGTTTCCTGAGGTATTTGGAAGCCAGTGGCCTCTGCATTTTCCCAAAGAAGCTTCCAGCTTCTGCAGAACTGAAGTTCAAGCTCCCACCCATCTGCTGCTTGTCATTTGTACAGCTGAGTCTCCTACACAGAGTCTGCGTGTCACACAGAGGAGCTGGCTGGGGGTAGACTTGGGGAACCCTCACTGCTGAGCAGAGAGCGCTGCAAGGTGAAGGTTGATGGCAGGCTGTCTCCACGCCCTGGAGCTAGGAAATCATCCCATTCCCTGGTCACCCAGGGCTCAGGACCCCTGCAGGAGGATTGCCTGAGTTCATTGTTTGCTGTCGGTGGCACCTTGGTTGAGTTATGTTGCTTCACTGGCTAATAAAGTCTCCTTTGAAAGCAGTGTGGACACAACGTAGTCTCTGCCACTCTGCTCCATGAACACCCACACATGCCCACACAAGGAACTCTGAAGGCCTCTTACCATATTTCTCAGGGAATCAAGAACAGAGAGAGTAGGATATGTGCTCACAAAAGGGAGGATATTGGATTTATTAGGCAGCAGATGTCCAAGATACTGAATGACCTCATTTAATCCTAAACCAAAAGTGGAAAATTATCACTCATTTTTTTTTTTTAGCTGTAATGGGAGTATAGCAGAATTTCCACCAGCGTCTAGTGATTGCTTCTCTGACTGGCACACATGCTGATGTGCATGCAACTCCCACCCATTCATCCAGCACCTTCCCAAGGTTCTTGCTGTGTGCTGAGTGCTAGACTCCTGGGATAGAAGGCTTATAGTGCTTAGCGCCCCCCCCCCCCGATATTATAGGTCCTGGGAGTCAGCACAACATGGAAGCAAGTCCATGAAGGCAGCGTTAGCAACCTTCATCAGATGGCAATGTTCTTATGGAGACGGGTGGCCTTGCATTAGTCATCATGAGATCCCCTAGCAATGACTCCAGATTGCTCTGCACAGTCCTTAGATTCAGAAGCTAAACAAGGGCATCTTGAAGGTGCTATCAGCCACTCTGGACGCTGTAATAGGACATGGGTAGGTTGCTTTTACATTGTGTTGATCAAAATACCTGCGAGAACAACGTAAGGGAAGAAATACTTCTTCGGGCTCATGATGCAGCTGATGGTTCTGCTGACAGCTGCTTGGCCCCTTGTGCTTGGGCAAGACATGATGGTGGCACGGGCATGCTCAGAGTGTGATCTTCACTTCAGGGAGAACAGAAAGCAGAGTGGGGGAGGGGAGAGAACGAGAACAGATAGGAAGAGGATGCCTTCTTTGAACAAACACCCAAGTGACCTACTTTCTCCGAAAGGATCCAGAACCTCCTACCACTAGCCATACCTTGTGAACCTGTGAGAGACATTTCATAATCAACCCATAATAATACAGAACTGTGTGGTCATTCCGTGGTCCTGGACACTTCGGTCTGCCATAGGAGTGGTGCAGAGGCATCTCTTCCACATGGGGGTACTGTAGAGTCAGCAAGCTTCGGAAGTCCAGGATGCTAACCATTCCACGGTGGAACTGAAGCCAGCCTGTAGATACCTTGAAGAGGGATAAAGAGGGTGGACGGAGGGAGAACTGACCACAGAGACCAAACAGCCACCAATACCCCATAAGTGACTTTGACAAGTTCCATAGCCTTTCCCCAACTCCATGTTTTCATTCTGAAAGTGAGAACATTGATGCTGCCATCTGGTAGGGCTTCTGTGAAGATGAAGTAGGTGAGTGGATAGCATTTAAATCTTGCCTGACACGGGGCAAGTACAATGTGAGCCTTTGCTCTTATTATTCCCTCTCTGGAGTTCATGGGTAGCAGGATCTGGAGCAGCTGTAGTCTTGTGAGCAGCAGGGCAGCAGAGGACATGACTGATGAGGGTAAGAGCTGGGTCCGTAGCAGTTAGTCCCCTAACCCTCCGGAGTTCATGCTGCTGCTCTGGTCCTCAGCCTTCCTCGTTTGCAAGATAGGAGCTATCCTGGACAGCGGGATATGAATGGGGGTCCCTGAGGAGGAAGAGGAATGGAGGGAACAAGAGACACGAGAAACGATGGCAAGACAGGATTTCTGATCAAACCGTGCTTTATTAATTCTTAGAAGCTGTTATATAGCAAACGGGAAAGGGGGGAGGGGAGATGTATCCGGTCTGCTGGAATTCAGGCCCTAGCTGATAAGTAAATACTGAGGGTCTGTGATTGTTGACTAACAAAGGAAATGCTAATTGTTTCTAAAAGCCTGGGGCCTGCAGGTCTCACTAGGAAATAAGATACCAGGTTGATTTCCTAGGTTCGGAACTTGCCCTGCAAAGGTGAATGAATATCTTACTTATCTTGTGAGCTTAAAATGGCTGTAAACAAAATACAGATCTCAAAATACAGGTCTTTGCTTCCGGCAAGGAGCCAGGACTTCCTGGGTCTAAAGTCCCTTCCAGCTCTGACCAATTAAAGGTCCAATCTTTGAGCATCACTGTCCTAACACACAGGTTAGCCCCACCTAGAAGAGGGTGGGCCATGGCTCTCAGTTCTTCCTCCTCCAACCCATCACACCCCACAATTCCCAAACTGAGTGCATCCATTCTTTTTGGAGGATGGGGGCATGTCGAAGTCCAGCCTACCTGCCATACTCTCCCAAGAGTCACACTGTGCATTCCTCTTCTCACTTGTCTTGTATTTCCGGAGCAAATCCCACTTAGTCGGGATAAAACAATTATCTTTTTATGCTGCTTGATTCACTTTGCCCGTATTTGGCTGAGGTGTGAGAGACATGGTCTGCAGGTTCCTTCTCCTGTAAAACTCTCTCAGGGTTGGCGTCAGAATGATAACTGCCCTTCTAGAATGACTTCAGAAATGTGTCCTCTAGTCCTTCGCTGAATAAGCTGTGAAAATGGATGTTGTCTTTTCTTTGCTGATGCAGGAGAACTCCCCAGCGAGGCCTCTAGCTTTGAGTTTTCCTTCCTCTGTGCTTAGGAGTCTGTTCCGGGTTTCTGTTTCTTGGCCGGTGTCAGCTGTGGGTGTCCCTGTGGAGATGTGTGCATCTCGGCTATTGCTGTCAATTCCTATCCATCTTACATCAGTACTACTCTATTCTGAAAACAGACGCAAGATGAGATACTAGACGGCTGAAATGTTAAATAGAAAGTTCCAGTAACTGGTGAATGTGGGAGGAAAGAGACAAAGACTTTGGTGCAATTATAAAAGCACACAGTGGAGGGCCAGCCAGATGGCTCACTCGGTAAAATCGCTTTCCATTCAAGGATACAAGCCTGATGACCCGTGTTGGGCCCCCAGAACACACATAAAGCTACAAGGAGAAAACCACATCTGCCAAATTTTCCTCTAACCTCCACACGTATGCTGTGTTCTGTACACACATACCCACACACAATAATAATAATAACCTTGAAATCATTTTAAAAACTCATTGAATAATTCCCTGAGGGGCAAGTTGGGATATTTTTTGGAGGATAGTCTTTGTTTTAATCTCTGTGTATATGTGAGGATGTATGTTTATGTGTGTTCACACGTGTGAGTACAGGTGCACGCATGCCACGGCACACACATAGAAGTCAGAAGACAACTTCAGTTCTTGGTCCCTGACCTCCGCCTTGCTTGAGACAGTGTCTCTTATTGTTCACTGCTGTGTATGCCAGGCCAGCTGGCCCGTGATTTCCTGGTCACTCTCCTGCCTCCGTCTCCTGTCTTGCTCCTGTGTGTGGACATGCACCACCATGCCCAGCTTTATGTGGTCCTGAGGGTCCAAACTTAGGTCCTTGCACTTGGGTGGACCATGGAGCTATTTTCCCAGCCCTAATTTTGGTGTTTATTTTATTTAAAAAATGCATGTGGTGCTCGCTTCGGCAGCACATATACTAAAATTGGAACCGTCCAGAGAAGATTAGCATGGCCCCTGCGCAAGGATGACACGCAAAAATTCGTGAAGCGTTCCATAAAAAAAAAAAATACATGTAACTCTCCCAGCTTCTCAGTGGCACCTCCAGCCAAGGGACTCCACCAGGGGTCATGGATCTTTTACTGTTTGCTTTGCTCTTTCTCCCTTTGAGTAGCATCAGGGCCAAATACACACACCCAGCAGTCCCCTGGAAGTGATGTGTATGGTAAAATTAGTGATGGTATTTAAGAGTGGCAGCACAGTTACTTTTTGGGGGGCTATTAGAGCATTCCTCTCATTTGATTTGTAGACTGCCTGTAACAGACATCCCAACTACACACCATCATACACACACACACACACACACACACAGCCAGCCCAACAAGACCAGCAGGGTCTGACCAGCATTTCCCAACAGCTCCCAAGCTGTCTGGTGTCTAATGCAGGCAGAGATAGCAGGCATCTCTCCTCTGTTCCTTGGAAACAGAAGCAGCTGGCCCAGATGTTTGCCAAGAAATCCATCACTTCCCTCTTTATGGATTTATTTTACAGAGTTAGCTCTCACAATCAATTTGAAAAATCTTGTATCCTAATCCTCAACGTGAAACAAACATGCAAATCCATTAATAGAATCGTAAAGTGAACTTCAAGCCATTTTGAAGCAAAGCCAAGTTGATTTGGTACAGACCCACACTGCATCAAGTGATGCTTGACTAAGGATTTACTCTCCTAATAACTTTTTAAGTGTTGTTATTTGTGAGGGCTGCCTCGTTCCATTCTCATTACAGCTTAGAAGACATCCCAGTGATGGTGGTTTGGATGACAGCGGTCTCCATAGGAGCATACATCTGAACACTTGGTCCCCAGTTGGTGGAACTGTTTGGAGAGGACTAGGAGGTGTGGCCTTGCTGGACTGTGTCACTGGGAGTGGGCTTAGAGGTTTCTAAAAGCTTACACCATTCCCAGTGGTACCCTTTCCCCTCTCTTGCTCCAGCTACTATGCCCACCTGCTGCCTCTGTCCTGCTTGGGACAGTCCTCTTTAATACAAGAAAAAAACACCCAGTGCCCAGAGCTTGTGGTCGATAGGAGTTGTCATCCTACAGATATTGGAATGGGGAGAGCCGAGGACTCCTAGCACTGACAGACAGAAAACAAGTCATCCTTCCTTCAGACCTCTTCCAGGGAAGACACTAACTCAGCCCATTCTGTCTTGCCACCCTGCTGTCACTGTTCCATCCTGCAGTCTTCTTATCGGCCATCTGTCTTCATTTTTTTTTCTATTGCGGTGATAAAAACCTTGATCAAAAGCATCTTAAGGAGAAAGGGTTTATGTGGCTTATGTATCCTGAGTCACAGGCCATCAAGGGAAACCCAAGATGGAACTTTAGGCAGGAACAGAAGCAGACACCATGGAGGAATGCCGCTGCCTGGCTTGTTCGACCTGCTTTCCTAGACTACTCAGAATCACCTGCCCACAGGTGGCCCCACCCACAGTAGGCTGGGCCTTCCCACATCCATTGCTAATCAAGAAAATGCCCTACAGACTTGCCTACAGACCAACCTGAGGGAGGCATTTTCTCAATTAAAGTTCCCTCTTCCCAAATGATCTTTGTCAAGTTGACAGAAAGAGGGTAACCAGCACACCCTCCCAGTGCCTAGAACACACTTCATGGCTTCAGGGTCCCGTGCCATAAGTTCCAGGCCAATCAGACTGGGGCCAGAGGACATAGCTGTGTGACAAGACCGGCACTGAGCTCAGCTGTCACCTGCTCACCTCATTCCATCCATGCCCACCTACACGTGTGTCAGCCATTTCCATGACATAGCAGCTGTGACTTGCCATGGGCTGTGCCAAGCCTGGTGCATGCATCACTCTTATGACCTCCACAATGACCCCAGGAAGATTGGCACTAGCATTGGTTCCATTTTACAGATTAAGAAATCTGGGGCGTACAGAGCTTAGGGAAGTTTGCCTGAAGAAAACACAGTTTGACCCGAGTCCCTACTCTGAACTCCATGCTATGTTGCACGCTGGTGAAGAAACGTGGAAGGTCGAAGTGTGTATGAGTTTCTCCCAGAGTCTTTCGGTTGTCCTCATGCTCCCCCCACCCTGAAGCCTACTATGGGGCGGGGGAGATTTAGCATCATCATTCATATTCTAAGGAGAACGAGAGTCAGATTTCAGGGATCTATGAATTTCAAGGAATTGATATTTGACTTAGGTTTCAAAAGCATTTCAGACTGGGTATGGTGGCTCAGGCCTCTAATTTCATCACTTCAAGGTGGAGGCAGGCAGGAGGATTAGAAGTTCAAGGTCATCCTCAGCTACGTAGCAAGTCAGCTAGCTTGGGCTACACGGGATCATGTCTCAGCTGGAAGGACCAGAAGGACAGCACTTGCTGGCAGGCATGAGGACCTGAGTTCGGATCCCAGCACCTATGTTAAGAGTCAGGCATGACATGCACACATGCCTGTCACCATGGCACTGTGTGATAGAAACAGGAGGATTGCCAGGGCTTACTGGCCTCCAGCCTACTTCCGGTTTCATTGGCAGACCCTGTCTTAAACAAACAAGACAAGGTGTGACAGACCAGGACACCCAACATGGTCCTCCGGCTTCAGCACTGGCATGTACACCCACGCCCCAACACAAGCACTTACACACACACATGTGAACCTGCACACCTACACCTACACAAAATTTCCCATTTTAATAATAGTAATAGAACAACAGTAATAGTAAGTGTGTGTTTTAATGCCATTGGTTCAGTACTTCAACCCCGGTGCCTACAATAGTCTCTAATAATTGTTATCACTAGTGGCGGCTAAGGGAGAGAGAAGGAACGAGGTTGAGACTAATGACTGTGTGTCAATAATTACTGTGTGCCACTTGACTCAATCCTTTGCATTTATTTACATCTCATTTAATCTTCTCAAAGGTGAGGTGTTAATGAGACCAAGTGAGAGCATGCTAATTATCCCATTGAGGAGACAAATTCCTCAATATTAAGTATGTGACACAACTAACCGGGACTGCGCTGAGGTTTCCTCCTTGGCAATCTGACCCCATAAAAAGCGCTCTTCTTAACCCTCTACCCCAGGGCTTCAACATGGAGGTATTTTTATGATGTTGTGGTAGTCACACCCTATAAGCTTACCCTGCGGAACACGATTCATTTGTCACGGTCACGAAGCCAGGCTGTGTGTGATCCATCTACAGCCTCTTCCGACGTGGTCAATACGCCCGTCTGTGAGGGTTAACGGACATCACCTGACTGCATCTGGGGTTTCCTAGGGAACAAGCTTCCAGGTGTGTGGTTCTGTAGGGATCGTTTAGCCTCTGGGCACGCCTCTGAGGGTTTTGTTGGTTAAGTTCATTGAAGAAGACCCATGCTAAAGGAGAGCAACACCATTCTCCAGGCTTGGTCCTAGACTGCATGGAAAGGCAGTTCTCTCTCTCTCTCTCTCTCTCTCTCTCTCTCTCTCTCTCTCTCTCTC